GCAGATCTATAATCAGGCAGATAGACTCAGTAAATTGAGTGCAATCCAAAAAGACACACTAAAGTGGTTTCCATTAGGCACAAGACAGCTGGGGATTCTCTTTTTCAGCAAAACCACAGCAGAGCTTGGGGATAACATAAGACCATGGATGGCAAACTGAGCAGAACTGCTGAGACCCCTGCCCCAAGAGGAGACCTAGCAGCTTTCCCAGCCCTCACTGCACTGCTGAAGGGACTTTCTCCACAGCCAGGATGTTTACAGCACACAAGAAAGGCTTGAGAGGTGTGGAAAACCACTGACAACAGCAAGGATTTGCAATTCCTTGGCTACAACTTAGAACCTGTCACTTCAGCACTAGCTGCACTGCCACTGGGTGGGTTTTATCAACACTAGAGTAAACCAAAGGCCTAAAACTCAGATATAAAGTCTGAGAGATAAAAGTTAGTGACTTCTCCATGTCACCTCTATGATCCTCATAATACATTAAAAGGCATTTTGAACCCCAAAACCCCCAGTACTTTTGAGGCATTTAAGCAGCCTTTAGAAAAGCAGTTTGGCATTTCAGACAAGTCTTTGCTGCTTGGTTACTATTCACATACTGCTTTTGACCTTTAGAAAATGATTTGCAAGGAGTTCCTCCCTTCAAAGGAGGAAACATTTGTGCTGCAGGCAGAGGAATGTGACCAGGAGCGAAGCTGAGGTGGCAAACCCTCCAGTGCCCTGCAGATTCCTCCCATTAGCACCATCAGCTGGGGCTGCTGTTCTCCCACTGGAGCTGCAGGTGACTGAGCATTTCTCAGGCCAATACTCTAATATCACCCTGTTTCCTTGCACAAGGCACAGTTCTTATGCCTCAGCCTGCAAATCATGTATGAGTCATGGTCCAGAAATAAATACTCCTGTTGGGCTTGGAGACTTGGGTTTTTTTCAAGGCAAAGAGCACTAACCTCTTCTCAATTATGTAATTACAAGAACTAAGTCCAGGGAGATGAATTCCCCACAGCAGCTGAGGACCAGGAACTGACACAGAGTCTAAGTGATATTTTAGCGATAAAATGCACTAAATGAGCTCAAGTAAAGCCTCCCAGATGAGGTGAAAACTCAAGCTTGACAAATCTGATAGGATAGAAAAATGAGTCTGACTGCAGCAAGGGCAAAACAGAGCCAAGAGCTGCCCATGTCCAAAGTCATAAGCTACCATCACCTGCAATCCCACCCCATCCATAGACACTGCAACCACAAATGCTGCTCAGCTCACTGAGGAAATTCAGAGATGCTACACAGAGAAATACCTTAGTGCCCTGACAGCAACCTTAATCAGAGCTTTCCCTCTCTGCCTTAAGCTCCTGATTTACCCTGAGACCAGCACATACTGTTTCAAGCTGGTTTCTTTGGGGTTGGTTTTGTTTCTTTGTTTTACTTCTTTTAGGGCACATTTGACCCATGGATCAACTGTGCACTAAAAGGAAAATTGTTTAGTACATTAGCATAGACAAAGTTCTTACTATAGATATTTCTGACTATGCTGAAACACAATGAACTAAAAGCAAACGAAAAAGCCCAAGGTTATTCTTTATAATCACTAACCCACATACACTCATGTTTAGGAGCTTTATACAGGAAAAGAGACACAAAGGCACTTAAACGCCCCCCCCCCCCCAAAAATGTATTAAATATAAACCAGAAAAAAACCTGTAACTAAAGCTTAATAAATACACATAGAGCTCAGAAAACAATGCAAACAGATTTGGTTTTTCCTTTATAAGAAGCCAAAGCCAAGAATGTTTCTCAGCAAGTCCCTTATTGATGAAGTGAGTTAAGCAACTTTATTCATTACAAATATGGAATAAACTTCATATCTCATTCCCCAAACAACAGAAGAAGTATAACTTACTATTCTTTCTTCAAAGCTTGCAGTTAGCCTCACTGAGGGAGAGACCCCAACCCAGCTACCTCCAAACAAAGGCAAATTGGCCTTGTCCTCCCTAATTTAAGCATTCCTGGCCTAATGGGCTGGTGGAAATGAGACCAATGAGTATGCAGGAGGCAAAGAGCTTGGGGTATAAAAGCTCCCACCAGGGCCTAGGTATATTATTATTTTAGTTTGCTTTAGAGTGGCAAAGAATGAGGTAAGGGAAAGTTTTTGGTTGGTTTTTTTTTTTTTTTTTTTAAATGCTGCTTGGAAATCAGGTTAGTTAAGGAAAATGG